GCTATTTGTTTAGTAGCTCATCATTTTGAAGGCTGTGATCTGGTTTATTAACACACACTCAGATTTGAAAAGAAGTGGGGGAAGGAACAGCTGCTTGAGCTTTTCAGCACATTTCTGATGTCAAGAGAGAGAAAACCGAGGTCCAGCTGAATAATGTGTTTGACTTTCTGGGGAGCTCAAAATGAAATAGCTTCTTTACTCAACTGTGCCATCATTAATGTAATAATCTCATAAAAATTATATAGAGATTTCACAAGTTTTGACTGCATCACATATATCAAGCACAATCATTACAATACTTACCTACAATACTGACGATTCTCTGCTACTGAGTTTGCTTTATATTTCCCCAAAGAAAAACCTAATAGCTCTAAGACAGGTGATAAGAAACAGAATTTATCCCAAAAGCCAAATATCTCTTCTCCCTTAGACAAAGAGAGTGTCACACTAGGAGCCAGGCTTCCAAAAGAGACAATTTGGCTCGTGTAGGAGAACCACTTTAAGGGATCCCCTTCTACAATGCAATATACAATAGTGGCCAAAATTGTGGAAACCTTTTGGGAAAAGTATATTTTTGAGGTTTGATAGCTAATAACACCACTTTTGTTTTGGAGTAGTACCATAAATTTATATATCCATGGAAAGATAATTTAATCAAGAATGTAATGCAACAAAGTTTGTTCAATTATCTGTACTGTATTCTATGAAAAGTTATAGCCAAATAAACAGAAAAAGGAAGCACAACTTGCTTAGGTTGATATCAGGTAGCTTTTCTTCATCTGGTTGTAGCCAATGAGCATGAGTATTTAGAAAGCCAATCAGGTGCCATCTTGTTTTGGCAATGAGCCAATCAGATCACAGTAGGATTTAGTTATTGATGTCATGTATTGAAGCTGAGAGGAGGACATTTGTCAGTGTGTTATGTGATCACTATCAAGTTGGTTGGGGTTTTTTGTGTTCTTTCATTTAGTGAGCTTGTAAAACATCATAAAATTAAAGTAATGATGCAAAGAGTTGACTGGTTGCCCAGAAAGCGATATAAAATAGAATTATTAAGTGAACAAGGCTACAGTTATAAAGAAATTAGAAGAAAAATTGGTGGAAACTTAACCAAAGGTGGCATTTCTACTGTACACTTTTCCCAAAAGGTTTCCACAATTTTGGCCACTACTGTACTGCCTGAGGCCCAGAGCCCCCTCCCCCCAGGGTTTCAAAATACTATCATTTAAATGTAAATGACAATAAACCCAATTGAATAGATTTGACTCATCCTTTACTTTGGGGGGGGGGATGATAACCCATAGTAAAGGGTAGCCCTTAGTTTCCTCAAAGGTTATTGGTTAGTGCTCTACAAGAATTATTTTGCTGCCTCACATGGTTCTCGAAATGGATGAAGCTACAACCATCTAAAGTTGCCTTCAAGGGAGACGAGCAACATATAAGATGAATGAAAATGAATGAATGAATGAATGAATAAATTGCAGGCACTCCCTAATGGAAACATTGTAGAGTATAAGCTGCATCTTTCTAACCGATGGAACAAAGTTATAGCATGTATCTCAAACATCAGCTTGCTAATCATCTAACCAACATCTTTCCCCTTGGTTTGAGCTACGTTCAGGGAACTAGCTGTGCACAGCAATATCATTCTCCACGTGGGGAGACCCCTGTCAATACAGCTTTATGTGGACTCACTGTGGATGCAAAAAGACATGGAATGTTGCTTTCAGCATGTCGCTAATGGCCTAAGTTGAAGTGAGAGGTTAGTTCATCATAGAGGAATATGGTCCTGTCTTCAAATATAGAGAAATACTTGGTGATTCTGCACCAAGTGTCCCACCACATGAAGTGAAGATGCATCGTAGCAAAAGGGCTTGGTTGATGGCCTTGAAGGACAGGAGGAAGAGTCAACTAGAAAGGCAATGGTCAGGTAAGCAGGGCTTGAGCCTGGACCAAGAAATTAACTGGAGAAAATTGTCCCAGGCAAGGTCACAAAAAGGGGGTGCAGGGGAGAAGAATGTTCAGACTTGTAAGATTCTGTTATCATAGCTGTTATGATAAAAGTAGCCCTGACCTATAGGACATTGGTTTTTTATCTAGTCTATCTTATATGGCTGATAATTACACATACCATCTCTATGATTCTATGTAAGCTGACGTTTTATAGCTTAGTGTTATATGCTAAACAGACAATTATGGTTCTTTTAGCGCATCGTGGTTTTAAAAATCCAGGCCTGATAATACGTTAACCAAGGGTTATTTTGGACTGATCCATTGCTTTGACTTAGTAGATTTCATGCTTTGATAAACATACGGAAAGAGGAAAGTATCTGATAAAAGTAATGCAACACAAAGCAAAATAAGGAAGTGGCTAATTTGCAACACATGTGATCGTTTTAAGGTGGATAAACATGTGTTAAGTAATGCCTTTTTTTCTTACTAACTCTTTTTTTGGCATAAGATGACAGATAATTAGTTTACTATGCTCCTCTGGTGAAAGAAAAATGCACTATGTGACTCCTGTCACTTGACCCTTCTGTATGCTGGTATACAAAGGCATTTTCTGACATTAGTTTTCAAACTAATTTTGGAACGCTTTTAGGAAAATATTGCTTTTTTGTGAGCATTGGTTTGATTATATGTATGTATGTATGTTTGATTATATGTATATATGTGTGTGTGTGTAATCTTACATATTCCTTTCTTTTTTGTTCAAGTAAAGCAGATTTATGTTTTTCAATCCCATTAATTTATTTCATCCACTGAATATGTGAATGATTTTAGATTATTTATTTCAATTCATTCTTATAACGAACTGAACTTGCAGTCTTGCAACATCAGAGCAGAAATTTCATTTGAATCCCCCTCCCCCAGCCCAAGTCTTCCTTCTCTTTGAAATTAGAGCTTGCTTTGGCAAATGCCACTGAGGATGGATAGAAGTCCAGCTCAATTCCTTTCTCTCTCCCATCCTGGAGGAATTAGAGTTTTTATTACCAGCCACAGAGCATCGGTTTACCACCACAGCTGGTGTCCAAGCATGCAGCACCAATGTAATCATGTGGCATAAAAAAACCCAATGTAGACTGAATTTTCAACAAAAATAAGATTGCTTATCTAAGGAGTTTGTGAAATTTTATGCAAATCACATTTTTTCCTCAAGGAAGAATAACAGAATAACAGAGTTGGAAGGGACCTTGGAGGTCTTCTAGTCCAACCCCCTGCTTGGACAGTAAAGTCTATACTATTTCAGACAAATGTCTGTCCAATCTCTTCTTAAAAACCTCCAGTGTTGGAGCATTCACAACTTCTGGAGGCAAGTTGTTCCACTGATTAATTGTTCTAACTATCAGGAAATTTCTCCTTAATTCTAAGTTCCTTGAATTCTCTTCATACACTACTGCTCCACTATATAGTTTCTCTTCTCAACCCTTTCTTTAAGAATCCTTTTAGAAGTAGGGCATTTTGTTCCTTAAAAGCCCTCTATATAAAACCAACATTACTAAAAGCCCATCCGACTTCTCTTTTCTCAGAATCTGAGCAGAAATAAGAGAATAAATATATTTAATAAAGTATATTAGGAAATAATCCCAATTTCTCCCATGGCTCTGAGAATTAATTGTCCAAAAAAGGACCTCATAGTAAATGAAAAATTATTATGCAATTATTGTACAGCTTTCTGTAAAGTGCTCTTAAGCTCATTTGTTAATAAATTCATTTAAAAGAGCAATCTTCTCTCTTAAATCACCTATCTACCCTTTAGGAAAATCTTTTTAAAGTCTGTTCTTAAGTTCCCAGAATTATAGACATGGGGCTGCAATCTTACATCCACTTACTTAGGAATAAATTATGATTCCAATAGGATTTACCAATGGGAAGATATATTCAACATCAACATAAAATTCTTAATACAAAAAATCCAAATGCCTATTGTCAAGTTTTGCAAACTTCAGTGACTAATAATACTGAATGTAGCAAAGACTGAATCTAAATAATGTTAATTCCCCCTGCATTATTAAAATTAAATAGTATTAAAAAAACTTTATGTAAACAACATCTTAACTGCAACATTAAAGATAGTAGTACAGTCCCAAACTAAAGGGAATATCTGGAATATACCTCCAACATTACTGTACATAAAATATAGAGCATTTAAGTATTTCTTAATAATGTGTTTGGATTAAACATTATAAAATGAAGTAGATCTAAATCAATTGGGACCATTACGTTTTAATCTACTTAAGGAAGTCTGAAACTGTTTAACTCTAAAAAAAAAAAACTACCTTGCAAGCTAATTAGCTTACTGGCTGGTCTGATTAACTGAACTTTTATTAGTTTTAAAACTAACTGTACACTATATTTTCAAAAGCTGCTAAAGAAAAGCTTTGCATGACCACCTTACTGGAAAACGGACTCTAACTTGAGCTCTTGATGAGAAAGTTCTGTTCCACCACCAAGCAAAGGATTGCTTGATCATTTTGCTTAGACTGCCTTGTGAGTTTCCCTAAAGACAAAGGGGAATACTGGCTATGTCCCCAGTCCCCTCCCTAACGGGCTACTAGTTTCAAACTGGAGAACAATTTCTCTCACAGTGGCAGAAAATGTAACATGCTTAGACTTCTCTCCCTATTAGAGTGGTAAATGGTAGAAATGCAAAAAAAAAAAAAAAAAAAAAAAAAGGTCACTTACCCTCTTTAGCCACGTGAAGTGTTTGTAAATATTAATCTCACTATCCATGCTTCGGGCCCATTGCAAAGATCTTCCCTTGGTTCACAGCAATTTTAGTTCCGTTATGGAAAAGCACAAACTCTTCTTTGCTCCCTCTCCCTTCCAGCTTCTAGCTAGCAGAATGTCTGCACCTCTCTGACTTTAATATGTCCTTCAGGCTTAGTCCAAAGTTTTCTACGGTACTATGTTTATACACAACTGTATAAACTTCAGGCTGCATTCCCCACCTCCTCTACTAGCAGCATCTGGCTTTTTTTAAAGAGGAGATCAGTCATCAACAGGCTCTCATATCCTTCTAAAAACATCAAAAGATACCTAAAGCCAAACAGACTCAGAAAGAAAAGAAAAAGACTGGAAGCTTCCGTGAGCGCAGTTGAAGTCTGCAGCAAGAGTGTTCTCGTTTTGATGGTAAAGTAACCAGCTAAAAATTGCCAGGCTGTCATAGAGAAACTATTTTCAAGTAATGCCTTCTCTAGCTTTCTGTTTCAAGAGTGGCTGGAACTCATTACCCCCAAGACCCTCTATTTCCTGTCTCAGTTTTTACACTGTGTTTATCGGATCAGTCTTCAGAGTCCCAGTTTATTTCAGGCTGGCTTTAGCCTAAAAATAAGCCCTGCTCTTGAGATTTGTTAGTAGTTCCCTTCTCACAAATACTTGGAAAGTGACTTTGTCTCTGTAATGCCAAGTATTCCACACTTGGTTGTTGTTTTTAGTGCGGGGGATGAATGAGCATATCTCAAATTCATAACTCAACATTCTTTTCATTCACTGTTACTGCAGTTGAAAACTGCATAGCCCTGCAGCCCTCAAGCCAGACTGTGATCACATGAGATTACAGGGCTGAGAGTGGGTTCCTTTTTGTAGTTTTGATGTGTCCCTTTCATCTTCTCTGCAAAACCACTAGCTTTAGCTTTTGATTCATTCAAAGTAACCTTGGATGAAAATATTAATAGAGAAAAATAATCACACACTCTCCTTAATACTAAGCAGTTACACTCTGTGTATCCGCCGAGGGTGCTAATTGCAGCAAAGTTTATAAAATCTGAAATTTTCAGTTGATTTGACCAAGATTGTGTATTTATTTATTTTGTGTAAACATAGGATATGCCTTATTCCAAGTCAACCTTTGATCCATCTTGCTTAATACTGCCTTCAGTGATTAACAGCAAGTTTCCAAGATTTCAAGGCCTTCTCCAGAGCTGCTGGAGGTGTCTAAATATTAATCTTTTGCATGTAAGGTTAGTAGCTGTATAACTAAGCTATTCTTCTCTCCTAATGGAATGCTTCTAAAATATTGGTAAATATGGTGTAGACCACTAAAGTACGATAAGTATAATTCCTCCTGCTATCTGATCAGAATGGTGACTTTTGGTTATGGGGAAGTGCATCAGACATTGACTGCATATTTCTAGTTAACTACAGAAATTAAAACAAGTTTCAGAGCAGTACCTTTTAGAGAACCACCTTTGTTTAAGGAGAGGAACTATATACCAATGAAATAGATGCTCACAATTATGAAATTAAGGCTACTCAAAGCATCAAATTTACTATGTACATCACCTATGATAAATTTAAGGACACTACTTCCAACTAATAAAGTTTGTTGCAGGGCCCACTTTGTGTCGGTCCCTGGGACCAAAAGTTTATTCTTCCAAGCTTTCGTGCTTGTGCTGGAGCCCATCATCAGGGAACTTCTCTCTCTCCAGAATATGTGCACTGGGCTGTTCTGTGTGTTGTATTTATATGATTCCTGGTTGTGTGCAGCTTTTAGTTGTTAATTAGATTGTAAATATTGATGGTGCCCAGTGCACATATTCTGGAGAGAGAGAAGTTCCCTGAAGATGGGCTCCAGCATGCTGTAGCTGCCAAAAAAGCCAACACAGAGCTGGGCTGCATTAACAGAGGGATAGAATCAAGATCACGTGAAGTGTTAATACCACTTTACAATGCCTTGGTAAGGCCACACTTGGAATACTGCATCCAGTTTTGGTCACCACGATGTAAAAAAGATGTTGAGACTCTAGAAAAAGTACAGAGAAGAGCAACAAAGATGATTAGGGGACTGGAGGCTAAAACATAGGAGGAACGGTTGCTGGAATTGGGTATGTCTAGTTTAATGAAGAGAAGGACGAGGAGGGGCATGATAACAGTGTTCCAATATCTCAGGGGCTGCCACAAAGAAGAGGGAGTCAAGCTATTTTCCAAGGCGCCTGAAGGCAGCACAAGAAGCAACGAATGGAAACTAAGCAAGGAGAAAAGCAACCTAGAACTAAGGAGAAACTTCCTGACAGAACAATTAACAGTGGAACAACCTGCCTCCAGAAGCGGTGAATGTTCCAACACTGGAAGTTTTTAAGAAGAAACTGGACAGCCCTTTGTCCGAAATGGTGTAGTGTTTCCTGCCTGAGCAGAGGTTGGACTCGATGACCTCCAAGGTCCCTTCTAACTTTATTATTATTATTATTATTGTTGTTGTTGTTGTTGTTGTTGTTGTTGTTGTTATTTCTGGTGATCAACTCAAATTGGATCCTGTAATAAAGTTTGTTCATCCAGTCCATTTAAGAGTCAAGGTTTTTGACCTCAAATGCAGTAATACTTGAAATAGCAGAGTTCTATGACATAATCTAGATTGGGTGGTTGAAGTTGAAATGGAGCATTCAAACTAGTAATTTAATAGACTTATTAAGCAGAAAAGTATAACTCTGCTGTTGCTATCTAATTTTCTTACAATATTTTGTTGTTTCATCATTTATTGCACTAACCATCTTAGACAACTTCATCTTGAAAGAGAAATAAAAACATTAAATGTTCATCAGACAGGTGTTAATCAGGACAGTAAATGTATAACATATATGCAGATAGATCGGTGAGAGTTTTCTTTGAGACTACAGATGGTGCTTTCCATTTCAAAAATCCATTCGCAGACAATTCAGTTAGCCTGAAAGTCACCAATTCAAGTAGACTATCAACCTTTATAAAATACAGCTGGCTCAGGATTTCTGGGAGTTGAAGTCCACAAGTCATAAAAGGGCCAAGTTTAAAGACCCCTGATCTAATTAAACAGTGTGTCCCACTTTAAACCTAGAGAATTGTTCCAATATTTTTTTTCTTTTCCAAATTGTAATTTGAAAGTCATATATTATTCTGCATGTCTTCTACATCCTCATTTGTGAGTGATATCTCAAACATTTCAGTAAATGCAGAACCTCCCATTTCCCCTATATGTGAGAGGAATGGCCAAGAAGTAGAAAAGTAATATTATCATTTTCTCCCTAAGTAGAATCCCAGTAACAGGGGAGAACCCAAACAGGTTCTAGAATGAAAATCAGTAGCATTATGCTCTGAATTGTTCATTTGAACTATTTCTTTAATTTTAATCACTGTAGCATAGCTAATCAAGTTCCCTTCTCAGGGTAAATGTACTTCCCCTATACAGCCTGTAATACAGAAGCAGTTCAGAATGTTCTGAGTGGCAAAGTGTGTCTTCCATTGTCCCAACCTTTATAAATATGTCACTGAATCCAGGTCTTCCTACCCAGAAAAAAAAGTCTACAGCTAGAAAGTAAGAAGAAAGGGAGATATCCATGCCAGCTCAAATATTGACTCATTTGAACACTACTTTCATGGACAAAAACAGCATATGTAAAAGATTCCACATACCTATTTCTGATTCACTGACCTCCTCCAGCTTTCATATAACTGAATCTTGATCCCCCTCATTGTTCTTCTTCATTACAAAGGAACTGAAACGTCCACAGACTTTAATCCAACACTCCTGTTAGTACCCTCATGGTTAGGAATGTTGACAAAGTACATTCCAGTGGATCACATGCCACCTTGTTACCTGCCTCTTAGTTTTCAGGTCACAATAGAACTCTGGCCCCAGGTAGTTTGGAGAAAGAGAGGCTTTAAACAAACAGTGAAACACTGAACAAACAATGTTCCTTAAATGGGTAAGGAACTTCAATAAACTTCCTTTCTACCTGTTCACTTGTTCTGCTCAGGATACAAGAAAAGTAATATTTTCAATTTTGAAAGCTAGTTACATCTATTAGTTGCTCTTACTTACAACTATAGGATGCCATCGAACAGGGATGGCTGTCTCCTCACTTGGTACGTTGATTTAATACTGTGCTTTTGTTTAGAAGAGCGTTGTGGTCATTTCTCCATGCCAGAAAACAAAAGTAAACTGTCAGTATACATACTGCTTGCAACTTCCTGGAACAAAATCTCAAGAGTTAACCCTTGAGTTCATAAATCCAGTAAGTTTAATTAAGTCCCTCCCTTTCCTTTGATGTTTATATCTGTGCCCTAAATACACACACAAAAACACATGTCTCAATGTATTAATGAACTCCTTCACAGAACTGATTTTATTTTACTGCCTCTTTTTAGTTTCTCTTATAATGGCTTTGAAAATTATGTTCTGATGTTTCTCTTGGGCATTTCCTAATGTAGTTTTTTTTTTTAAAAAAAAAAAACAAACACATTAATACCAACATAATCAAATATCAGGAGCAATCTGTCTAGAAATTAGAATCCACCTAGAAATAAAAATAATAGCAAAGCACAATTGAATATTGAAGGACTTGATGAACTTGCTTGCAAAATAAATGGCACTGAAGGAATGCTTTATTATTAGATCACCACCTATATCTTACCATAAGGCTTAATTTTAGAAGAGAGCTTTTGCTAATTAACTGAGCAAATATGTGTTTAAATAGATATATGCAAGTGTATATGTATATTATATCTTTGTATACACTAATTGTTCATGTCCATGTATATGTGCACTAAAGAGGAGCTTTACACGGAATGAAGAGTTCACCTCTGTACTCAGGGCTTAGAATCAAGAAAGCAAATAGAGACGGAATAAACCAGCTTAAAAATGGTTTCGTTATAAGTAGAGGACAATCAGGTACTCCATGTATGGCTTCTTAAGTTCCATGGCATAAAAAAGTGAAATATGCAAAATTCCTAAAGACAGCCACAAATAATCTCAGTGGAAAAGGAGCAAATTAGTTTCTGTCTGGGTATTTATTTTGTTTCTACAACCTCACACTGATTTCTGGGAAGTTTTTTTTAAAAATTAAAATATGCATGATCCAGTTAAAAGCATACAAAGCTGAAGCACAGAAACTAGAAAAAGAAAAAAAAGTGCCTGACATACTCTGGAAGACCTTTGTTTTCACCTGTTACTTTTTAATGGAAGGTCATGCTAGAGGCTGGTGTTGCTACTATCAGGGTGATTTTAATAGATACACATGATACTGAGCTTGGTGCCAACCCAAACAGAGTTTTGTAGGTTAATACTAATGTTTTTAATTGCATCCAGAAGCCAACAGAAAACCAATACATGTCCTGTGGCCCAGATGCACTTGTTCCACAACTGAGTGTCAGTCAATAGACAGGCAACTTAATTTTGGATCGAATGAAGCTTCTGGATGATCTTTAAAGACAGACCTATGTAGAACACATTGTAAGTGGAGACAAAAGAGATACCACTGGAGCTCCCCAAATACCCCAAAAGACAAATATTACCTCTGTCTTCCTGGACCTCAATTTTAGCCTATTTCCAACCATCTAGACCCTTGCAATTCAAGTACTGGGGTAGGATCTCACCAGCCTCGCCATCACTGACCAAGGTAGGGATTTAAAGCTGAGTATGGGAGGGAGATGGGAGGGGGAGAGATTGCCAGCGCTGCCGGTCTCATGCTGTCGTCTGCCATCGCTATCCCACGTGGGTGGATGGGGCTGGTCCAAGTGAAAGGGAAGCCTCATGGCTGCGAGTCTAGGTCAGTGAGGGGGCCATGGAGGGGGTGGTGCTGCTCTACAATCCCGCTGCGTCCATCAAAGCCAGAACGCACTCAGATCCACGGGGCAGCCTTGGAACCAGCTAGGAGCTGCTCTGCCGCCTCTGCCCCGCCCCCAGGTGTGTGCACAGGAGACGGCCAGCGCTGGCATCCTGAGTGAAGTCAGCCTGTGAGGCAAGACAGCCAGCAGTGATGCCAGATTCTTCCGCCTACTTGCCGCCTCTTGTGTGTGTGCCCAGGGGAGGTGTGGGGATGCCCGTTGCTGATTCCAGGGCTGCCCCGTGGATCTAAGGCTGAGCACATTCTGGCTTTGATGCATGGCATCAGGTTTTAGATCAGTGCTATGGGCCAGTCCTTCGCTGTTTCCAGAGCAGATTCCCAGCCAGATGGAATCACATGGTGGGCCGAATCCAGCCCGCAGACCTTGTGTTTGACATGTCTGATTTAGAGCCTGGTACACATGCATTTCTCTTCAAAAAAGTCGTACACAGATTTGCAAAACAATGGAATAAAGGCATATTCCTGAACTTTGTTTCATGATTTATCTTATGGTTACTATGAAATTGTGTGAATGTATCAATGCAGTGCATGTTATCTCAGCTTGCAGAGCTTGGATTCATTGAATGAGTTTACCAAAAATGTAAATATTGTAGAATATACAGCCTCATGCTACATAACTAAGCTCCATTTCATGATGAATAAACTAAATTATTAATGTATCTTAAATAGAAAACTATATTTAGATAGATTTTTACTCCAAAAGCATTTTATTAAAATAAATTTGATAAAAATTTAAAAAATCAGATTTTTTTATTTTTTTAAAAAAATCATCGATTATTATCCACCCTGTCGAGAACAGTGCTCTCTATAGGAGTAAATGGAAAAAAAACCCAATCCAACAACAAATCCAACTCTAACATGATTCCCTAATAGTATTATTAACTAATAGTATTATAAACACAAACTCATTCTTACAGCATGTTTCAACTATCTACATGTTTCCTCTTTGGGTGACATTTGTTATGCATATATGAGGTTGTTGAGCCAAACTGTTTTGAGGCTTAAAATAATAAGATAAGCGATAAAGATCAGTTGAATTTGATTCCTGCTATGTGTAGAAAGACATGGCCAAGTGATTCTTTTGGCAATAGAACTCCAAGAATTGCTATCTTCAGGTTCTTTCAAATAAGTTTCCTTTGAGAACATTAGAGTTTAAAGGCTGAACTCCCAGTCAGCTGCAAGACTTATTTCAGAAAAAAAAATTCTTGTAAATTCCTCTATTATTACCTTATTAGTCATTAAAATGTATAAGAAAACAAAAAATAACTCTTCAACTATTGTTCAGTGACTCATAAATTGTATAACTTAAAAACTGTCCGAAGAACATCTTATTCTATACAGCACTGA